TATGAGACGAAAAAATAATTCTGCGATGCAATATTTTCTCTGATAGTCTTAACATTTTATTAGCTTCATAAATCATAAATAGCAAGCACTGACGACGTTAATGTTCGCCTACAACAACACAGAGAGCAAAGATGTCCTGTCGTCCGAGAGATCGTAACAGTCCCACTTCGCCCGCTCTCTGCTGCTGTTTCTGTCACTTGGAGTCTTGTCGGATCTGGGGCGGCGCGCGGGGGTGAGTTACCATCTGGCGGCGCTGACACTTCTTCACGGCGAGGAAATCTGTGATTCTAGGATTTTCTGTTCTTCGGCTAATTTATCTAGATTGTTGTCAATCGCTAAATAGTTATTGATGGGATACACATCAGTAACTATTAACAGTGACAATATTCGCATTTTACAATATTGACCACGAAAGCTAACTGATGTAATACACACAGGTCTCGCTTCTGTATTAAGGCGCAGAATGAGAAATACCGGACAACTATTATCACCTGTGACCTGAAAACGAAGACGGAATTGGCATTACCAACTCGAATCGTATATATGTAGAAAAGAAAAAGAAAAAGAAGTAACACCAAGAGAAGACTCCTTTTTGGCCCGAAGCAGGACAAGGGCAGACGTATGTGTTCGTACATTGCAAAGCGCTAAAGGACCTGCTTTAACACGAATGCCTGAAGTTCCTCACGTCACAGTCATTCATCTTTTGGATCCGCTCAAAGGCTGCTGTTGCAAATGTCAGTCTAATAACAATATTGGCAGTCAGTAGGTCGTGTATTTCAGTCTCAGAAACATTATATAAGCAGCATTATAAAAAAAAAGTTATAATATAAATGTATAATAAGTAGTAACGATTGTTTAAGAAAATATGATCACATTCAAAAACCTAAATTCAGATGTTAGAGACACATTACCACTATACACGCGCCCTCTCAGGACCCGGGTGAAATGAGGGCGCGGATTACAGTAAAATTTGCAACGGGAAGATTGTTTAAAGTTTGGATTTTTTGCTACGATCTTACGGGAAAGAGAGAGACAGAGACAGAGAGAGAGAGCTAAGGGGAAGAGGATGAGGTAGAATGTTAGAGAAAAAATCTCAGAAACAAGTAAATGAATAAAACAATATACAATCACAACAATCGAAGAGGTTTAACAACACTGCAAGGCTACAAAGACACCACAAAACACGGAAGAAAAGAAGAGAAGGTATCCAAAGGTTAGACTGAGGTCTGAACCCTGGGCTGAGGCAAACGTCTGCAGCGAAATAGCACGGTAAAAAGAGAGGATTTAAAGAAATTGTTGTTGTGACGCATTGGATAATATCTGCACATGGAAAGATCAACACAGCATAAGCTCGGTTGACTCAACATACGAGATACTACGAGGGAAAGAGAGTGAGTAAGAGAGTTGATATTCTGCCCTCACTGCTTGACATGTAGTTGGCGTCTTGGGGTCAAGCCTTGGACTCTTATCGTCCGGACTTGAACTGCATAAGGAATCATTTTTCTTCCGAGACGTGCAGGTTGTCACACGGATATAATCACGCCTTGAAAAAGATACTCCTTTGGTTTCGTATATATCTGTTTGAATTGTTGATATATATATATATGATTACCAGGACAATATGTTGTACCTACCTTGAGATTGACAAGAAAAGGATGTAGTCAATTTTTGTTCCTTAGCTTACGTGAAAATCTGAGTTGTTTATTTTTTCATTTTTCTTTTGCTCTAAGTTCTCCTCACTTCATTTACTCTATTTTTCGTTCGGTCAGCTGATATAGACATCGGTTAGATATCACAACCAGAATTATGTTTACGCGACACTGGAGTCTTTTGATACATGGATATCCCGAACATCGCTGACCTAAATCACAGCTTTAAAGACAAGGAAACCCCACCAGGGCTTTGTCTTTCGAAGGAGGAACATATTCCCTTTCCGGGTTTCAATAGCGAGGTAGGAATATTTATCTTTTTTTCATATCTTTCACTTTCCCCTCTCCTTATGTTTCTATTTCTATACATTTTCTTCCACAATTTTCACAATTATTTTTTCCTCTCTTTATCCTCCTCCTGCACGCATTAATACATTTCCTCCTCACCCTCCTCTATGTCCACCTTATGTCCTCTTTTCCTATCTCCTCCTCATCTGTTTCTACCCCATTTCCTCCTTTCCTCTCCTCCTCATCTTTTTCCACCCCATTTCCTCCTTTCCTATCTCCTCTCCTCATCTGCTACCACCTCATTTCCTTCTCTCTTCCCTCCTCCCCATTTTTTTTTCTCCCCCTTCCCACCACCTTCTCCTCCAGACGTGGCCAGTCGCGACAACTCGTCCCCATCGATCACCCTCCATCTGCATCCTTGGCATTATTGTGTTCCTCGAGCTGTCCCGGGGAGTCGCCGCTGATAACCATCGCCACTGAGCAGAGAAAGACTCGGGAGGTTTAATTTTCAGAGTTTTTTTTTCTATCTTTTTTTCTTTTCTTTTTCT